ATATACTTTAATAGGTACTTCAGGCGCTTTAAAAAATGAATTATTAGTCATGTGACAGCACTGGCGACGAACACATTTTCTGCATCTAAACAGTCTGCGCCAAAACTTCCAATTCCGACATTTGCAGCAATCAAAATTCATATTCAGGCCTGTTCTTGGATGATTAGATCTTTAGAGGTAAAGCGATGTTGCTCTTGGCATGCTGAGCTGGTGTGTTTCTCAGCGAATGTTCATACCGCACCGTAGAGAAGTCTTGCTTCCCTCGATGGATAAAATGATGATGAACAGGGATAAAAATGCCAACGTTTCATTATTCATTGTTGCTGCTAAATGGAGTTTAACAAGCCATGGCACAAGGTGCTTGATGTTTGTCCATTTCCACCGCTTGTTCGCTCATTGCCGAGATTTTATGCTGCCCGTGTGCGCGCTTTCTTCATTTAAACAGTATCTTCGTCCGATTCTACACCATGATTACTTGTAGGGTGAACATCAATTCACGATGGGAGCGCACGTTACTCGCCACGATTTTGATTGGTCTTACACCGAAGAACCGCACGCAACCCGTCGCAACATAATTTTAAGTATGAACTCTGTCGTTGATTATCTTTGTTATTTTTTGTAATCATTTTGAACAAACGTTGTTAAGAAAAACATCCAGAAATCAAAGATCTATTTTGTTTGGACCAAGCTTTCAAGTATGTCGTCACGGCGATGGTCGTTACGCAGATCATTGCTTGTTATTGTTTGAAGGGTGAGTATAAATTCAACCGTTTTATACTTATGCTGTAATTTGCTTCATAGATTCTTGTTGGCTACTGATCCTGATTCAAGCGTATTGTTCTGGTGGAGTTTTTAACCACGCTCTTGAATTGGCGGTTCACGAAGTCTCGCATAATGCAGCGTTCGGCAACGGGCACCCGTTCAAGGCACGTTGCTCGATGCTTACTAATCAATTGACTAATTACTACTTTGAATTTCAGAATCGCTTCTTTGGTATATTCGCTAATTTACCCATTGGAATACCGTTTTCTGTAAGCTTTAAGAAGTATCACCTGGAACATCACAGGTATCTTGGCGAGGAGGGTTTGGACACCGATATACCCACGGAACTGGAGGCTCGACTCTTCAACACGACTTTCAGGAAGTTCGTATGGCTTGTGTTTCAGGCTTTTTTCTACGCTTTTCGACCGCTAATTATTTATCGAAAGGTATCATTGAAATATTTAATTTATTTGTGATGGTTTCATAATTTGCGTCTTTCGCTTTCGTTCTTTAGAGTTTGTCCGACTTCGAAATCCTCAACATGATCGTACAGTTCACTTTCGATTACTGTATTTATTATTATTTCGGTGGTAAAGCGATTGCATACCTGTTGCTTTCTTCGTTTCTTTCCATGGGAGTTCACCCGACCGCCGGTCATTTCATCGCTGAGCATTACGTTTTCAAGCCTTGGCAGGTCAATTTATTTATTTACTTGCTTTTTATTTACAGCTTTTTAGAGGTAGTTGAATTTTTGTGAGACTGAATATAAAATGTGTAATGAAGAGATGTTCTGCAAATTTCGACAGCGATATTTTCACTCGATTTCTTTATCTCATTCATTCGTTGTTGTCATTAGTATTCGTCCTTCGTGGGAATAGTTTTCTCGTATCAGTAGACAGAGGTTTGCTCAGATACTAATAGAGACGGTGACCCATTACCCCTTCGTTCAGGTGCTAATTTCTAGTTTTTATGATTTCTAGTTATCGTATTTTTGGCTTGAATAAATATTCTACTTTAGTTGTTTGTTTAGGATACATATTCGTATTATGGCCCGTTGAACATGGTCACCTTCAACGTCGGCTATCATGTGGAACATCACGACTTTCCTTTTATAAGTGGCAACAGACTTCCTGAAGTAAGTTCTTCAACTGATGATAATATTTTTTAAACAGCTTTTTTAAAGACTAAACGAACATTTTCACCTTTTTTATCTGGATAAAATATCATTTTAGCTAAATGTAAACTTACGGCAGTAGCGATTTGCAGATTTTTTTCAGGGTCTGTCTAGATTACGCAGATTACAGTATATCATGTCTCGTCAATCTCTAGCTGTTGTGCCCTCGTTTATGATAGCATTGAAATCTTTGGCTTGATGTTGCTCCTCGTTAATTTTACATATCCACATTCAACCATCGTTAATCTGAAATTTACTTAATCTGCTTTGTCTTATTATGGTGTAAAGTAGCATGGCAATGACTGCAATTTTTCTAGTGTTACTATATTTGAGACAGAGAGTAGGACAGTGGTATACTGACACAGCCATATCGGAACAGGAAGTGTATTGTTGTAAAGCAATGATAGCATTCTTTACTAACACGTACTCAAATCTTCCTTCCCTGTGATTTTCAGTTTCTCGTACAGATGACCTTTTCAGTGAACCGCTGTTGAGTCACACTTTGGTACAGCACATATGATAGAAACGATATGGGTAATTCCTGAATAGGGCCAGCAAAGCTAACAGGGCATTACTCTTGGAAATTAGAATGTTTGCTCTGGCTGATTGGCCAGCCGAGTGGAGTACTTCTGATTATATTCTCGTGACTGCAGTATACTTGATGTTCTTGTAGATTGATCTGTGTTTTAGTCTTTTGCAATCCTGTTCTAGTTCGATGAGATTGCTGAATAGTTCGATGCATATCAGCTGTTTGGTTAGCGAAGAATACCCTTGTGCTTCACCGAAAATGCCACAAATTCCTTATGTTTATCTCAGTAGGAAAGCATCTTCTTCATCTTCATCTTCCATCGCCGCTTCTCCTTTCGGGTCGCGGAGGCAGACGCGTCAGACAGT